CGGCTTAGTTCAAAAAAATCAATGTTGTTGCTGAAATCCATCTGTTGAGTCTACGATTAATAACCACCCCCCCCCCCCCCCATGACGATCAATGTTTACCATACACTGCAGTAAATCCTTATATCAATATGTTCACAACGCAAACGACTGAAATTTGACTAATCCAAAGGGATCAGTGTTGTATTCCTCACACGTTTTATAGTACTCTTTGTACAACAGGATAAACGCAAAGCGCTTTATTTAAAGCCAAAGTGTTAGATACTTGTAGACAAGGTATCACGCGTTTAAATACGCTATTCAGAGTATTAGGCTTTTGTATCCAATATACCAGACAATACATAACAAATAGACAGTCCCAAAATCTGTGGGTGGATATTATAAATAAAGGAAAAAGTGTCAACATTATTTATTGTCGGAGCTATTTTTACTTTGAGTAAATTAACAGTATAGTGACGGCGTGGCCTAGCGGTAGACTGCTAACCCGAGAGTCTCTATTTTGTATCCGGGTTCAAATAAATGGAACGTCCCTGAGTCGACCCAGCTCTGATGGGTACCTAACTCTCGTTAGGGAAACAAACGCGGCTGGGCATAGTGTTGACCACACTATCCCTTCATATGCCGAGGCCTCTGAAGTAGATGAACTCTACTGCATCTGCCCCACGAACGGGAAATGATGATTGTGAATATAACGAATACTGATCTTATACGTAACACTACGCTAGAAGAGAGTAAAAAAAAATATCCATATAATTTGTTGCTAGTGAAATTAAGGCAGATGGGACGAAGGAAGGAATACTAAAATACAATTACGATTCCTTGGAAAAAAAACTAAGTTTGAAAGGGTAACGGCTAAAACTTGTATTAGTTAAAAATGCAGATACGTATTCTAGTAGACACTATTTCAATCCATTCTTTGTTCTTAGACTTACGGCCTAAAACTCCATCTGTATTTATGATTATTAAAAACTGGCCCCTTAGTCTAACAGACCATTGGATGATTTCGCATTGGAAATCCAAGCACAAAGCCCTAAGGTGAGACTTGTATCTGTATAGCTTTGGAATCAGCAAAGTCGCAGGAGCTGCCGAAACGAAGCCAAAGTAGGTATTCCTATCGCCTAAGGGACTCCACTCCAGTTTCATTTCGGAGTTTTCTCTCCTAGTTGTTGAGCTTTATCTGCCCGAGGTTTCGAACTCGGGACTTTCAGGTATGCAGCCATTGTGCTTACCCGCCATACCATTTAGCTGATACATGCATACATCTCCACCGAAAGGATCCTATATTCCATATTTAAAATGGCTAATACTCAATCAATAAAACCACAAATGTCTACAACCACAAACACCACTATTAACAAACCACCAAACAAACTGCCCAAAACTTACTCAATTTACAAATAAAAAATGTTCTATTCATCTAAAAACCCACACATTGTTAAACTTTGTTCAAAATTTCTGCGTATAGATTTTAATTTTCAAACCTATTTTGCGAAACAATTTCAAACATTCAAAGCTATTGTTCTAGAAACGTGAGCCCCTATAATCCTTGGTGATTGCGACTGTAAACAGAATAAAACTAAAAAATTCGAAACCAAACTAAAAATAAAAAGCTACATTACGTATCGATCGGTTGTCCCGAGTAGTCGATTACTTCATACAGTTTAAACACGATACTCCTTGGGGAGATGCCCCCACGCCGCGTCAATAATTAAATCATATCATATTATGTGTAGGGTACTGCATTGTTTTCGTCGCTCATGGCGCAATGTTGGCTCAATATTTACAAGTATTAACGGCCCTTTTGGCTCACTATTTACAAGTATTAGCGGCCCTTATGGCGCAATGTTGGCTCACTATTTACAAGTATTAACGGCCCTTATGGCGCAATGTTGGCTCACTATTTACAAGTATTAGCGGCCCTTATGGCGCAATGTTGGCACACTATTTACAAGTACTAGCGGCCCTTATGGCGCAATGTTGGCTCACTATTTACAAGTATTAGCAGCCCTTATGGCGCAATGTTGGCACACTATTTACAAGTATTAGCAGCCCTTATGGCGCAATGTTGGCTCACTATTTACAAGTATTAGCGGCCCTTATGGCGCAATGTTGGCTCACTATTTACAAGTATTAGCGGCCCTTATGGCGCAATGTTGGCTCACTATTTACAAGTATTAGCGGCCATGTGGCGCAATGTTGGCTCACTATTTACAAGTATTAGCGGCCCTTATGGCGCAATGTTGGCACACTATTTACAAGTATTAGCGACCCTTATGGCGCAATGTTGGCTCACTATTTACAAGTATTAGCGGCCCTTATGGCGCAATGTTGGTTCACTATCTACAAGTATTAGCGGCCCTTATGGCGCAATGTTGGCTCAAAATAATTAAATCATATCATATTGTGTGAAGGGTACTGCATTGTTTTCGTCGCTCATGGCGCAATGTTGGCTCACTATTTACAAGGATTAGCGGCCCTTATGGCGCAATGTTGGCTCACTATTTACAAGTATTAGCGGCCCTTATGGCGCAATGTTGGCTCACTATTTACAAGTATTAGCAGCCCTTATGGCGAAATGTTGGCCCACTATTTACAAGTATTAGCGGCCCTTATGGCGCAATGTTGGCTCACTATTTACAAGTATTAGCGGCCCTTATGGCGCAATGTTGGCACACATTAATTAAATCATATCATATTATGTGACGGGTACTGCATTGTTTTCGTCGCTCATGGCGCAATGTTGGCTCACTATTTACAAGTATTAGCGGCCCTTATGGCGCAATGTTGGCTCACTATTTACAAGTATTAGCGGCCCTTATGGCGCAATGTTGGCTCACTATTTACAAGTATTAGCGGCCCTTATGGCGCAATGTTGGCTCACTATTTACAAGTATTAGCGGCCATGTGGCGCAATGTTGGCTCACTATTTACAAGTATTAGCGGCCCTTATGGCGCAATGTTGGCTCACTATTTACAAGTATTAGCGGCCATGTGGCGCAATGTTGGCTCACTATTTACAAGTATTAGCGGCCCTTATGGCGCAATGTTGGCTCACTATTTACAAGTATTAGCGGCCCTTATGGCGCAATGTTGGCTCACTATTTACAAGTATTAGCGGCCCTTATGGCGCAATGTTGGCTCACTATTTACAAGTATTAGCGGCCCTTATGGCGCAATGTTGGCTCACTATTTACAAGTATTAGCGGCCCTTATGGCGCAATGTTGGCTCACTATTTACAAGTATTAGCGGCCCTCAAGGCGCAATGTTGGCCCACTATTTACAAGTATTAGCGGCCCTTATGGCGCAATGTTGGCTCACTATTTACAAGTATTACAAGTATTAGCGGCCCTTTTGGCTCACTAATTATAAATATTAGCAGCCTTATGGTGGAATATTGGCTCATATTGGCTATAAAATCATATAATATTATGTATAGAGTAGGCCTACTTTTTTTCGTCACTCATGGCGCAATGTTGGATCCCTAGTCACTAGATTTGAAACCATAGAGCGCTAAATTGGCTAACTATTTACAAGCCTCGTTGCTCAATAGTTAGCGTCTTAGGGTTTCTTTCTGAAAATTTTCTGTAGAATGAGGGTAATTGAAATTTCTTTGAACGGGGGCGTACTTAAAAATTTCCGGGGCGGTGTTTGGGGTGATTGAATCTGTTTAATGTATACTTTCTATATAATTTATTTTATTCGATTTTTTCTGGGTCGGGGATGGTGGACGTGTTCAGGGCAGAGGGGTAGGGGGGGGGGGGGGGGGAGAGAGCTGCCAAGAAAATATAAAATGGTAGGTAAGTAGACTGTATAACTGCTGTCACGTAAGTCTCGAGTTCGAATTCTGGACTCAAGAACGTAAGACATCTCCTGAGCACATCCAGCTCTATTAGGTACCCGATTAACGTTAATGATAATAACTGCGGCTTTGAAAAGAACTGAATAATCTGTCAGTCTATATAGTATTCTGGACTTTATCATCCCCATTGAACCCCCAATTCTGAGAGTGTAACTACTATATTTAATCAGTTTAATTTAATTTCAGCTTATTCAATCTCAGTAACAACAGTAGGCACGGAGGCCTTAATATGTCATGTATTATTAATGTCAGGTACTTAAATGGTCATTTGCAAACGGTCACATCATTGGCTTAGTCATACCATTTTTAATTCTTATGGAAAAAAAAATAATTTTGCGATATTGTACTACCCTCAAATATTTTGTATTATTACTGTGTTCAATTAAACATTACATAAACATATGGAAACAAAGATTTAATAATTTGCTTTTTCTTCTATCAACCATTTGTTTCTTCATAAATCTTGTACATGAGCAAAAATACAATTATACGGATTTTTGTGCAAAAAGTACGTAGGTAAAGAGATAGAAAAATAGAATCCCAATACATGAAATAAATAGTTACGAACGAAAGATCAAAGAAACAAAGTATTAAACACACGTTTTCAGATTTGACTAACAGAAGGTGTTAACTATCAATTTTCACAATTTGTAAATCATCAGCATCCTGACGAAGATTTTATATCGAAAGACAAAGGCGTTTCGCATAATTCGTGACTTTTTCTACACAACTTGGTGATTGTTGTTTTTGTTGGTTTTCTTTCTGCTTTTTTATAAACCATTATAAAAGAAAAAGACGTTCACACGCAAAACAGAAAATAAACACTGACGGCGACAGTAATCTGATGGGGGACTACCAAGATAATTGAAAGAAAGAGCTTTCAAGTGCCGACACATGTGTCCTGGGTACAAAAAGTAAAAGATAATCATCAATAAATCAAGTAAAAGAAGACATAATTTGCAATAAAGAAGTAATACTTTAAACATAATAAAAAGTAAAAAGTGACTCTAACCTGTCTGCCATACAACAAAACAACAAAAAGTAAAAACTGACTCAATTGTCTGCCATACATCAAAACAACAAAACGTAAAAAATGACTCACTTGTCTGTCATACATCAAAACAACAAAAAGTAAAAACTGACTCACTTGTCTGCCATACAGCCGGCACAGATTGACCCCACTAGGGTCATGATGAGCTGAACAAAGAACACCCAGTTCATCTTCTTCAGGTCGGAGTGCGTCTGGCACCCCAGGTCGAAGACGGTGGGGCCGAGAAATCCAACACAGACGCCGAAGCTTCCGAACACGGAGCAGTAGGTGACCACGTACTGCCAGTTGTCCAGGAACAGCTTCCAGAAGCTGATGACGTCATCCCGGGTGCTGATGGTGGTGTGCTCCAGCCACTGGGAGTCGTCGAGTTTGATCTCCTTGTTCATCGTGTGGTTGTTGGCGTCGGGTTTCGAACCCCCGTTGCTGAGCTCGGGGTTTGTGGTGTTGTTGGTGTGGTTGGTGGACTCCATGATGGCGTTGGGCTGTAGCTCTATGCCGGTGTTATCAGTGGCGAGAAAAGGATGAAGGGAGGTTGGAATTAATTATTGATACTAGTTACTTGGATACTTGGGAGATGATGGGTTCTGCTCGTAGAAGGACTGTATTCCTGCGGACTGGGAAACAATAAATACAATGTTTAACACAATAGTAAGATTATTATGTCAAAAAAAGGTAAAGTTCCTTCCCTTTTCGAACCTGACTGTCCATGGGGCGAGTGAGGTTGAGGTCACATGTTTCTGTGACCTCGGCATATGGTAAGCACTATGCCCAGTCGACTTTAATTTCCCTAATATGTGTTAGGTACTTATCAAAGCTGAGCGGAATAAGGGACGTTCTACGGACTTGAACCCTCTTTCGAACTCGAGACTTTAGTAGTAGTGGTCTAGCGCTCTACCGCTACGCCACGCCGTCACATATGATTATGTAAAGAAGGATATTAACACCATCTAAAATGTTCAAATTAATGTCAATACAAGAGTGTCATATTTCTTTTTCAAATAAATGTTGCATTCTGTACTCCACATATCAGGATTCTTCCCCTAGGTTACATTACACTGAAGTTCCACCCTTAATTCTACCCTTAAATCTACCCCAAAAATCTACCGAATTTTTTATTTCTACCCCAAAACAAAATAAATCAATTCTTTAGTTAAAAACACCAGTAACATTAACCAATCGGCTCATGTATTACGAACTTCAAAGACCAATCAAGCTAATCGTCTCAGAAGGGCTTGTAAAGACGGAAAAGTTTTAAGCCTCGGTCCCCAAATCTATTTTCATCCTCACCCTAGGGGGATTATGATCAGTACGCCTATTTTTAGATTTCTAATCCAGATCTTAATCTACTCATCATGGCTAAAAATAGATGGCTGTGTCGAAGTACCTACTCTAGTGTTGCTTTAAATAAATAAAACAAATTATTTTTTAAAATTAAGGCTGAGGTTATATTTTAATTCAATGTGGGAGAACGCTAGATTATAAACATGAATGTTACGAATTCGATGACCCCATCAAAAAGGTCTTGTCTTTTGGATACCGTGAGATTTAAACAAGACGTGTTTTCACTGTCGAGCTAAGTCCAAAACTGTGTTACTGTGTGTCTTTTCTTTCTAGTATTTAACCACACTATTGTGTGCTGGCGAAGATCTTGGGTCGAACGTCCATGGTATTTGTAATTGTCTTTAACGTGTGAGGTAAATAACACTATCTATACATATAATAACACTATAGAAATTTTAACTGTGAATATACATTGAAATCTAAACACAAATTATTTCACAATCCACAAGTTGCCGATGATGTTATCAGCGTATGTGAGGTGTGTAGTGACGAAGAAGCGATGAAGCGTAACCAAATCGATCATGTACCCACCGGTTCTAACGTTACCAGGCGCATCCGTTACGGAAAAAATTACCTTAATCCCATTTTACACGTCATATACATATTTACACATAGTGTGCTATGTTAAGCCATGGACTGGGCTAAAGATTAAACCAATTTACCATATGACATAATCAGGCGTAAACTGGTCAATAGTGTACACAGTCTGATACATGAGTGTGCTTAAATAAGTGGTTGAAACTGGATTTGAATGCTACAATGCCGTATATATATATATATATATATATATATATATATATATATATATATATATATATATATATATATATATATATATATATATACAATGAGAAATAATTCTTGCGATTAACTCAGATTAAATCTCAACTCAAAAAATTTAAAGAGATGCGAGTGTGGCATTTGCATAATTTTTTTTAACGTAACGAGAGACATCTCTCAATGCATTGGTCTATAGATGGTGGGTGGAACCCTCAAAGAAAGCGCAAAAGAGATCAGCCAAAAAAAACCACCTTGAGACGGGACCTTGAGGCTGAAACCAAAAATGATGGGCTTCATCTGGAGTCCGGTTGAGGAGATAGCATACGACAGAGGACTGAAGAGCTTTGGTTCGCAGCCCATACCCCAGTAGGGTGTCTACGCGCAGTAAAGAGAGATGGCGGGGGTTAGGAGGGCAGGGGGTGCTAGACTCCCGCTTTCACCCCATCAGTCTACGCCAATGTCATTGACGATATGAGCCTTAGCGTTTTCGCGGTTAAAAGTACCGTACGAGTACACGAATGGTCTGCCATAGTTAGGCTAACCTGCGGTGTAGAATCAATGATTTTTAATCCGATTTAACAAGCCCGCTATGATATTGACATATAACATGTGATATATTCTATGATACAATTCAGATGGGATTATATGATTAGGATGTGCTGCGGGAATGTTATTGAACTAGCGGGGGAGAGTGTAGAGGCTAGGTTGCATTAGCATACCTTACACATACATTCATCGATAACAGTCAGATTTTTGTTGTTAAAGCTTTGGGCATAAGTATATTTTTATCGTAACGTGTTTGTATAAAGTATGTAATACTAAAACAAACAACTTGCGTGTGTATTCTTCTTCAAAGGAGTTTTAAATGGTTTGTTTACGTGGATCTGTGTTGAGCTAGTTGTGAGTAGTGTTCAGTTATACGTGAAATAAACATTTGTGTATGTCCTCGTTATGTATATACCGTTGTTGATATATCTTGGCCTGAAGCTAATTCTTGAATACTTATCCTAACAGCTATGTCAGAGGCGTAGCGAGGGCGGGACGGGGGGTGCGGATCGCACCGGGTGACGCCAATTAGTAGGGTGACACCAAGGCAAAAAATAGCAAAATATACCGAAGAAAAATGCTATTTTGCCAGTTCCATTAATGATAAATTAAAGTTACATAGTCTTTTACGTACACATCGACAATTTTTACAAAGGGCTGGGGGTGACACCATGACGTAAATGTGCTAAATATAGAGAAAACAATGCTTCACCCAACTGTATTATTAACAAACTATAGATAAACATCGTTACCATTAAGTCTGCAGTGATTAACGTATATGCACATGCATGTGCGCGTATGCGGCATATATTTAAATTATAGGCCAATGTAGGCCGACACACACACACACATATTTATCTATTTTCATATATATATATATATATATATATATATATATATATATATATATATATATATATATATATATATATATATATATATATATATATATATATATATATATATATATATATATATATATATATATATATATATATATATATATACTTGGGAAGGTGGTGACACCACGAAGTGCCGCACCGGGTGACACCCAACCTAGCGACGCCACTGAACTATTTTTAACATTAAACCTAACCATGTATTGTTTAATTATATTTTTTTTACTCATCGAGATCTTAGCTTTATTTATTTATGATAATATAATTAACTAACACTGATAATGACCTTATGTGTGACTTTTACCCTAACCTTAACCCCCGCCATCTGTACGATAAAGCGTATATTATCTTCGTGCCCGCCTGTTTGCAAATAATATTGACAGATGTGTAAATTATCCTTACAGCCCTCGTGTACAGAGCCTGCAAGCTCAATGAACAACTATTTCAAGTGTGATTATAACAACATATGCGAAGCAACAGATTGTATATTACAAATGGGAGGGGGGGAACAAAGGTGTTTGCACAACTGTTACTGTGAGAAGGTTGTGTGGGAGTTTAGGTAAAACATATATGTGCAGGTGTAAGGAAAATATACCTGATTAGGTGTAAGGAAAACACCTGATGAGGTGTAAGGGAAACATACCTGCCTAGATATAAGGAAAATATACCTGATTAGGTGTAAGGGAAACACCTGGTTAGATGTAAGGAAAACACCTGATTAGGTGTAAAGAAAATATACCTGCTTAGGTGTAAGGAAAATATACCTGCTTAGTGTAAGGAAAATATACCTGCTTAGGTGTAAGGAAAATACACCTGATTATGTGTATGGAAAATATACCTGATTAGGTGTAATTTAGGTGTAATGGAAAATTACCTTCGTAGGTGTAATGAATACACACTGATAAGGGGTGAGGGAAACATACATGTATAGGTGTAAGAAAATGCTTGCTTAGGTGTAAGGGGAATATACCTGCTTAAGTGTAAGGGAAATATAGAACATCGATATGCTTACCTGAAGTAAAACTCCGTCATTATAAATTAATTAAATTAAGCTGTGGACATTGAAACCATCCCTGAACAATTACAACCCCTATCGTATAAATAACGTGCCCCCATGTGGTCGATATATTCACAAATCAGCTTGATATTGTTCTATTGTTATACTTCTATTTACTCGTAATATCAGATGTGAGATTGGGGGGGGGGGGGGGGAACAAAGTGGGTGGGGCGCTATTTCAATTTGTAATTATGTATGGTTGGATGGTGAGCGGGTAAGGAAACAATGGTGTGATGAATCCTCTACAGTACACAATTCGCTTATCTGGTCTATAGTGAACTTTTACTGTTAATGAGGCGATCATTGAACCCGAGACCTATGGAACAGATGAAGACAACTCCAAAATCAAACAACCGCTGCCTTGTAGTTTGTTCTTGGTTGGACAAAGGCTATGGAAGCAAATCCAAAAAGAAAAGCAGGCTGAAATCGGAGTCAATGGCCTCAATGGCGTATAACCAGTTGACACGTAACGCTTAATTGTGTTGGAGGCGTGGTCGAGTCGGCAAAAAGCTCATGGTTGATACATTCGAACAGTCTCGAGTTAAAACCCACTGGCAGATAAATCTCGATCCCCTTCAACACTAATAATTAAGAACGAAGAAGAAGAAGAAGAAGTGACCTCAAACAGGTGTGATCGTGGAATCGCCACTATGCCAAGCCGCTTTAGTTTCCCCAAAAAAAAAAAATTCTTGCCGGATCCGAACTCGAGATTTTTGTGTTACCAGTTTAAGCTCTAGCATCCGACCAAGCTATACCCCAAATCAACATTTAGCTGCGTTCGGCGTGGTCGAGTCGTTAGAGCTCAAGGTTCGATCTCTCGGGCAGATTAGGCTCGTTAGCTGGGGACTCCTCTAGAGATAACTCCAAAGTCAAACAACTGCTGCCTTGTAGTTTGTTTTTGGTTGGTCAAAGGCTATGGAAGCAAATATAAAAAGAAAAGCAGGCTGAAATCTGAGTGAATGGCACATAACCAGTTGACATGTGCACTTAA